CCTATTGATCACCCCCACAAAAAGGATGCCTTTGGAATCCCCCCCCGAGAAGGATTCAAATTGAACTCCTCAACAGAAGGGTTCCATGAGAAGCCCTCCATAGAAGGTTTCCTATTGAAGTCCCCCGAAGAAGGGTTTTTAGAAGGATTGCTATTGACATCTACCACAAACAATTCCCCGCATTGGCATTGCGTTGGCACTGCTTCGGCATTGCGCTGGCGAGATCGAATGGCTCCCACCACAGGAGGATTCATTACCTTCCACGAGAACGGATCCTTTTGAACGCCCCCCACAAACAAGATTCATACTGAACCGCCTCACGGAAGGATTCCAATGGAAACCTTCCACAGGTAGGATTCTTTTTGGAATCTACCACAAAGGATACCCCTCCTTGGCATTGCATTGGCATTGAATTGGGATCGCCTTGGCATTGCGATGGAAAAGCTTTGGCATTGAGTTGGCATTGCGCTGGCGAGTCCTAATGGCTCCCTCCGCAGGGGGACTCCTACTGAAACCCTCCACAAGAACGATTCCGATTGAATCCTCCCACATGAAGGATTCCGAGTGAAACCCTCCACATGAGGATCCCTATCGAAACCCTATACATAAGCTTTGCTATTGAAATCCTTCGAAGAATTATTCTTAATGACATCATCCACAAAGTATTCTCATTGAAATCCACCGAACGTAAGGATTCTCCCATTGGCATGGCATTGGAATTTGTGTTGGTTGGGAATGGATTTGTATCGCATCGGCATGCATTGGCCTGGTGCAGGAGATTGACAGAAAGAGAGAGAGAGAGAGAGAGAGACAAAGAGAGAGAGAGAGAACACTAGAGAACGATATAACGAGAAACAATTAGTATGAGGGGATCACGGCGAAAAGAAAAATTACAAAAAACCATCAAAGTTTAAGGGTGAAAGAGCGTTTCACTCGATAACAACCTTACGAAAACGACGAGGGGCTCCACAATCCACCGGCCTCGAGAACCTCCCCCTCCTCCTCCTCCCCCTCCTCCTCCCCCTCCTCCTCCTCCTCCTCCTCCCCCTCCTCCCCCTCCTCCTCCACTTGCCCCTCCGCCTCGAAGTCCGCCTCCTCCTCCGATGCGATTCGGTCCGACTTCGATGGCCTCCGGTTCCGACCCGCTGCGACCTGGGGCACCGATGTGGTCTCCGAGAGGAGGCGTGCCAGCCTGTCGACGTCCGCCGATTCGACGCGTTCCACGGCTCGGCCGCCGATATATCCGCCGCCCCTGCCTCCTCTCCTTGCGAGAGCCAGCGGCACGACCTTGAGCCGTCGGAGGTCCGCGCCGAACTCCTGGGCTTGCGATGAGCCTCACCGCCCACCGAGCTACCCCAACGCAACCAAGGAGAGAGGAGAGGACGAGGAGGGTCGAGGAGGGAGGAGGAATCGACGTGGAGGTGGTGTACACCTTAGGCGATGCTTAAGAAAACTGAAGTTTTCGGCCAGAATCTCGATTACTCTTAATTTTTCAATGAAAATCCTAAGATTTTAGTGGAAATGTTGGTTTTTAATTCAAGTTCTGAGACTATGAATTTCTTAACCCATGATTTCTTAAGCATTTCGCAGGGTGTATATTCTTGGGGCCCCCACTGGGGAGCCGGTGGGGCATCTGTGGGCTCCCCGGAGCGGGCAAGGGTTTCACGAGGCTGCGTGCCGGATTGGCGCGCCGTCTCGCTAGGGGTCCGCATGCGAACCCTACCCCTACCCCCCACGATTTCTGACGGGGAGGGTGGGGTTCACTTCGCTCGAGAGCTCCCGAACGAAGTGAACCCCACCCTCCCCCTCAGAAATCGTGGGGGGTAGGGTTCGCATGTGGCTCTCGCGAGAGGGTTTTTTGTTTCCCTCAGTTCTCCTGGGGTGCAGTCCCAAGATCGAACCCAGGGTTGACCCTCTCCCTGCCTGTCTTCATCGTTGTGTGTCCGCCTCGTCTCCTGCTTATACTTAGTATCCGTATTCCTATGATTATCAATGTTATCATTATTACTAGTATCATTAGTCGTATCATCGCTAGTTGTATTAGCATTATGATTATTATTAGTATTATTGGTATTATCATTATTGTTGTTAATGTTTCAAGTAGTATCCCTAATATTCTAACTATGAATATTATCAGTCGTAATATTGTTGTTTGTCTGGTTTTTCCCCAACCCTCCTTGGTTGGGTATTCGTTTTGAATGAAGAACCGCGGTCTCGTCTTCCTCCTCCCGCCTACTCTATCCTGCCCTCTCTTCGCCGTCGCTAGGGGGCTGCGATCTGCGAAACTGTTGCCGCATTCGAGGGCGGCTGGTGGGTCCAGCGGAGTGAGGCACCGCGCGGACCTGAGCGAGACCTCGCTGTCCTTGGGGGGGGGCTGCGATCTGCGAAATTGTCGCCACTTTCGAGGGCTGCTGGTGGGTCCAGCGGGGTGAGGCACCGCGCGGACCTGAGCGAGACGTCGCCGTCCCTGGAGGTCTGCGATCTGCGAAACTGTTGCCACATTGGGGGGCGGCTGGTGGGTCCAGCGGGGTGAGGCACCGCGCGGACCTGAGCGAGACCTCGCTGTCCCTGGAGGTCTGCGATCT